CGATTCGCCAATTTCCACAATGAAAATGAAATAAATTATTAGGTTTTAATTGGTTTTGAAACTCCTAAATTTTTTGAAATTCATTGAACTTTTCAATGTCATGTTTCAATCTCAAGTGTGCCCTTCAAGTTTTGTGACTGGGGTGCCAAGGATCACAAAACAAGGTTTGAAGTAACCATGCAAATTACTTGGTACTCTTAATGTTTATCACCTAATCGATGTGTCAGTTAACCACAAGTGCTCCACCAATCTATGATAAACCTTAAGCCACCTTTTTCCTACCTTTTTAGGTCCAAGTTAGTGTGTCAGTTAACCACACACGCTCCACTAACGACTTAAGCATAGTGTAAAGTATAATTTCATGGGTTAGCACCTTATTCACATTTTCCTAAAGTAACTAAGATTGGGATTTATAAAAACATTGAGTTACTTTACAATCATCATATTTTTAATGAGGATTAAAGTCATTGTCCTACCCGTTAGGATAACGACCCTCCACCAGTCAAGGAAGTGGTGGGTGAGAGTGGACACCCATTAAGCTGCCATTTTATAGGCAACAACCTTATTACCCCCTTATAGACCAGCTTCATGAATGACGCCTACTAACGGTAAAACGATTTGTTCGTATACATACATACATATATATATATATATATATATATATATATATATATATATATATATATATATATATATATATATATATAAACTTATAATATTATAAAGTACAAGGGTTGAATTTTAACTTTTAAAATTCTAGGGGTTGGAACTAAAGTTTTCTAAAATGTGTGAGACTTTACATGTTCCAAAACTTGAGGGAAAGTTTTGTAACTTTCAAAACTTTTCATCTTTCATAACTTATGATTTAACATTTACTAAAATGAGAAACTTTTCATTTTATGTAATTTATGTGTTTATTAATGAACTTTAAAAGAATGACTTTTGGTAATCCATAACTTGAGGACAAATTATGGATTCCATTAAAACACATCAAGATCAAGAATTAAACTAACAAACTATTTGCAAATAATTCCTAAGATCTTCTAAACTTATAAGTGTATGAACATCCATATCAACAATTTCAAGAATCATAAATAAACCATACAAAACTTGAAATTTTGATAATAACCATTGTAAATGGATTAGCATAACCATTACACCATCTAAAACAAGTTTTATAAGACCAAAACAGTTTAGGGTAATGTTTCTAGTCCATTTCCAGTAGCAAAACTCGAAAAACTACATCTAGGGCATCCTACTCATCGAGTGCAAGAACCTACTCAACGAGTATGATGAATTAACACATGGACTCGTCGAGTCCCCCCCCCCCCATGGACTCGGCGTGTTCACGTAGCAGATAGCAGATTTTTGAGTTTTTCCAACAAGTTTGCATCAACTATCAAGAAAACAAGTCTAGGTCCTGATACCACTGATGGGTTTTAAGCATTCTAACACTTCTATGGTGTACATGCAACCCTAGAAACCTTGAATCTATGTTTATTCTAACATACATGAAAATAATAATTTTCCAAGGTTTACTTCCTAACTAGCTTGTTATGGGGTACTTAAATCATAAAACACTAGTAGAATTACATACCTTTTAGTAGTGGTTGATTGCTTGGAGTTTGAGAGCCTAGCACCAATAATGTGGATGCCTCAAATGGAAGTCATAAATCACCACAAACTTTGGAAACTTGAGAGAATAGATACACTCTTCTTGAAATCGGCCACCCTTTAGTTCTCACACAAACTAGTGTCATTTCAAGTGCCAAGGACCCCTTTATATAGTGTGGTGGATTAGGGTTAGATTCATGTAAACCCTAATACCCATGACCTTTCATTTCCATTAGATCCATGGGTTAAAGCTCCATGGACTTTCCATGCAAGCCTAGCCCATTCTAAATAAGCAATAGTCCACACTATATAAATACAAGAGTCCATATTAATTAGTCAACTTTTGATCACCAAATGAATTAAATTAATTATAGATCAATACTAATTAAATTTTATGATTTCATATTAATATATTAGAACTTATAATATATTAATAGATCATAAACTTACTATTCTCAAAAGATTATCCATAAATTGTTCGGGTGAAGTGCAACTCAAATGGACATGTCGGGTCGGGTCAAGTACATCTCAAATATAGTTATGGACTTAGACACCTTATCCAACATATATATCATGTAAATATTAACTTTGGATGATGTAAATCCAAATAGGTGCTATATACCATATAACGGGTGTTTTATGGTGGTATCTAGGTATGTATTAAGTTTGGATGAAGTAAATCTAAAAAGGTGTAATGTGCCATATGGTGCTTAAACTATTGCCTATGTATAAGGAGCAAAAGATATTAAATATCTCTTAGTTGTAAATTGTTTTAAGGTCTAATAAATAATATAGTTGCTTTATGTTATTAATTAGTGAAAAGTATATGTTACAAAAGGGGTATCTTATGACTAATTTTAGTGTATTGGTGAACCTTATAACGAGTGTCTTAAGGCAATGTATGTTTGATGTATGAATGTCATTGGTGTTAATTAATGTTAAAGTCATATTTTTGATAAATAATTTGGGAAGTTATTTTATTACTTGGTGTAATAGAAAGTAGTGTCTAGTTGATACTAGATTAATTAACAGTCTTCTTTGATAAATAATGGATTAATAGACCATAAAGTCTAATAGCTAACAATGCGATAAATAATTATATTTATCAAATTGAAATATTGGAAATTATGATGATGGATATATTGGTGGGTGTAATATCCAATGTAGGTGGCAAAAAATATCTATTAGGTGACTTGTTGGTGTAATATCCAATGCATGTGACAACGAATATCTATTAGATGATTTGTTGGTGTAATATTCAATGCACATGGAAACAATATCTATTAGATGACTGGTTGGTGTAATATCCAATGTATCTAGAAATAGATATCTATCAAGTGATTTATTAGTATGATATTCAATGCAGGTGGCAACTAATATCCATTTGTTGATCTATTAGTGCGATATCCATTGTTGTTGGCATTGAATATTTATGTGGTGATTTAATAACAACAACTCCCAATCCAGTGGCTATAGGTATCCATTTTGAATCAGTATTGACCATATATAATTTACTAATGGCATATGGGTGAGCCATAAGCTGAATTCTTGGTGATAGTTGAATATGTTAAGTATAGTGTGTCGAGTAGAACTATGTAGTAATATTAATAAGATATTATCTACTACATAAAGAGTACTTTTAGGTTTTTTCAATGAATAAGGTAGTCATATAACGGGTGCTTTGTGACTACATACATGGTGTTGGTGAACCTTATAATGAGAATTTTGGTGGTAATACCCAAAAAAAACATCATGATGTTGTTGAATAAGTGGACTTGGTGAGTTGGGAAAAAATACAAGTTTTAAAAATTATTTGTATTTAAGATATATATTGATGTATTTATGGGGAATTTATATTGGTGAAAATATATCATTCCTACGATATTTTAGTAGTAGTAATATGGTTTCGTATGGATGAGTCACATAAAAGATATCTAGTGACAGTAAGTATGGTGTAATGAATTGAAAGGCAGTAATATGTTGAAAATTTTGTGCTATAATGATAATAAATATTGAATAAATTCTTTTTGTATAAAATTTGTAGGTTACTCACTAAGATCTTTGCAATTTACTCTCTTGTTTGTGCCTTTTAGGTTATGTAGATTCACTAAGGATGTAAAGTGGTAGCGGAGAGGTGGTAACACCCGAATGGGATCATTATTGCAATTTAGTTTATATGATCCTTAATGATAACTACTTGTATCTATGTGTTTAACATCAATGTACACCAGGTTTGAAAATAAAAAAAATGGGTGTTGAAGGATCGAGATAGAACAGTTAATATCAAACAATGTAAAGAACAAAGTTAATAAAAAAACCAATTTCTATTAAAGTAGTCTCTCACATAGAGAGAAGGTACCAAGCGTTAATTACATCATAACCTAGTGTAACTTATATACTAGGTTGATGACTATTGTAGATTCAAATCTCTACATATCAGGGATTTGAATAACTATGATAACTACCATATATTAAAGATATATATATTATATAAAACATATCATATCATAAAGATAACATGTCAAATGACTTAAGTAACAAGAAACATATCATGTTGTCTCTGAAGCTTGATCGGCATCTCATGGCACTAACACTTATTATGTACTTAACGTGATAAAGGTTTGACTCATCAGATGATAAGGTTTAACCTTACAATCTCCCCCAATCTGATGATGTCAAAACTTACTCAAAAATATCTTGAGCAAGAACCTTTTCAGCATCTGAAATAATATCTGGCTTGATCCATAGGAAATCATCACAGGACAGGTCATCTCTTTTTTTGCCAAGCTCATAAGAAACAATCCAATGATAACAACCAGCTTCTAGTTTTGCTTTATAAAAGAGATGTCTAGTAGGGGGTTTGTGAAGATCAACAGATCATTGAAAGCATAATTGATCATTATTATCAACATAGAATAATGCATGTTCAGGTTCTCTAATGAAAAGATGTTGAATGTCTATAACACTTGCTAGAAGATTGTTGTTGATTTAGACAATCCCATAGGGAGGTAAGAATCTTGAATTTTTGGACATTCTTCCAGATCTAGCAGAGAGTGAAGCAGTGGGCATAGAGGATGCATAAGGTAGAGCAACCAAGTTGAGATTTTTGACTTTGTTGATCATTAAGATGATAGCCAAACTCAAATATTATGTATCAATACCCTTGTGATTTTTAATAATTGCTTTAACTACTAACCATTCATTGTAACCATATTTAACAAGATCAGATACATGAATTTTTCCAGGTTCTTCTCCTTTGAAATCTCTTCTGATTAGGTGCATAGTGAGAATTCATTCTCCTTTAGGTTTGGAACACCTACCTTTCACAATAGTATCTAAACAGAATCTTCTGTGAAGAACATCATCAAACTTGGAACGATCAATCCTTATGAGAATATATGCAACCTTCTTTTCTTTTCAACCTCATCATCAAAATGTTTCATTGCAACCATATTATCAACAAATAATTCATCAGTGGAAGTAATTTTTGGAGTTGATTTCCTTAGATGAATGTTGTCTCGTGCAACATCAATATGCTTAGCATCAAAAGCTCTAACATCTTCTTTAGATAGTCCCCAATCAACAAATACATCAGAGAGCTTTATAACCTTGGGACCTTTTCTTTGTTTGACAGATTTAGATTTTGAGACTGAATACTTACACTTTCTAGAGAGGGATTGATCATCATTTAATTCAATGTCACTATTGACATGTTGCTCCCCCTGGGGCTGAGACTCCCCCTGAGGCTGAGACTCCCCCTCAACCTGATAACTAGTTGGAAAAACCACAACAAGTGGAATAGAAGTGTGAATAGAATTACCAAGAAAGCCAAGGTCTAGAGAACCCTTTTCATCTTGATCAAGGGATGCATAAGATTCACCATAATAATCTATAGAAACATATATACATGATTTTGAACTCCTTTTTTTGACATTATCATTTACAGGACCAGTAGTAGCAGGCGGAGATAGTGGAGGAGTAGAATCTTTTGTTGAGACATCCATTGAAAAATTTTCATGAGAAGGAGGATGAGATGATGGTGCAGAGGATCCATCCTTTGGAGGTTGTTGATCATTGGATGGTGGTGCTAGAGGTGGAGGTGGGGCTCTAGATGGATCATTTGTAGAAGATGGAAAAATAACTCTTTTGATAGAGGAAACATCCACTTTGATATCAACAATATCTTTTTCCAATTGATCTTGTCGTTCAAAAAAACATCAACTAATCCAAGGAGTGTTCAAATAGATCCAAGAATCTGAGTAGGAACATCAGGAGAATCTGGTTGCTCTAGTTGTAATTCCCCTCAAATTGAATAGGTGGTTGAGAATGTTGAGTAGATTGGGACTCACCAGCAATAGGACCAGGAGAGATTTCAATTGTTCTAAATCCAAATTATGCTCAGAGATAGTATGCTTAACAAGATCATCATGATGAGAAGATGAGGAAGAATACTGAAATAAAATGTAAGTGTTTATTCTTGGAGGAGAATGAGCAACAACACAAGATGATGGTGGTAGAGGTGGAGGCAGTGCACTAGATGGATCATTTGTGGAAGATGGAAAAATAACTCTTTTGATAGAGGAAACATCCACTTTGATATCAACAATATATTTTTTCTAATTGATCTTGTTGTTCAACAAAAGCATCAACTAATCCAAGGAGTGTTCAAATAGCTCCAAGAATTTGAGTAGGAACATTAGGAGAATCTGGTTGCTCTAGTTGTAATTCCCCTCACTTGAATAGGTGGTTGAGAATGTTGAGTATATTGGGACTCACCAGCAAAAGGACCATGAGAGATTTCATTTGTTCCAAATCCAAATTATGCTCAGAAATAGTAGGCTTAACAAGATCATCATGATGAGAAGATGAGGAAGAAGATGGAAATCAAATGTAAGTGTTTATTCTTGGAGAGAATGAGAAACAACACAAGATAATGGATCATGGCATCTCAACACAGGTTGCATCATAGTAATTAATGGAGATTCAGAGACTTCAGCACCAAAATCGTCTTCAACATCGCTATCTTCTTCTTATTCAGATACCTCAAGTTCAAAAGCAACTTCATTAGGCTCTTCACCATAAGCATAAAAAGTATCTTGGACTCCTTTTGGATTAAAGGTACGGATGTCAGCTTCATATGGATTTCTGATCATGTGAGCCATCCATCGAGTAACATGAGGATCGTCTGGAGTAGGATAGGAATTAATCAACTTAGATGACATTGTGGATTTGACAATGGACTCATTAGAATCATCAATATATCTAGATCCAATGTGATTAAGAGCAAGAGAGAGCCAACGAGGATAAGGAGCATAAGAAGACCTCTTCTTCCCTGAGATGGAGAGAACAAGCTAATCAAAAATAATCTTTCCTTGTCTTGTAGAATCATAACCGAAATTCATAATAGCTTTCTTGCATTATTTCTCAGAAGGAGGTTCTAAGAAGTTAACAAAATTTGGAACACAAAGTGCAACCCTAAGAACTTAGATAGAGAGATGAGTTACATGACGACCATCTCTAATGCTTACATGAATGATATTATCCTGATCATCATACATGCATGTGTAGTAAAACTCACATATGTGTTTGGGGATGTGTAAAAATTAGTCTAAATAGGTTAAAGTTCATTGGTTAAAACTGATGGGTTATGCGCACTACATCAATCCTATGGTGTACATGCAAACCCAAGAGCCTTAGATCTAGTTTGTCTAATGAACATGCAATAATCATCCAAAGCTCATAAACCCTAGATCTAGCATATAATAATCGATATTATCATAATAAAAGGGTTTAGATCTTACCTTGATTGTTATGTAGCAATAACAATCACAAATATCCTTGATCTTGACTCTTGAAAGCTTAGTGCCTCAAATGTTGCATCTCTAATGGAGTCAAAAACACCATGAGCAACAAGATGACTTAGGAGAAGAAGGAGGAGGCACCAAAAACGTCTAGGATTCTCTTAGAAGTGTTAGCTATGTTTTTAGGACCCCTAAGGGTATTTATATACTTGTGAGGGCGGTTAGGGTTTCAGTTGAAACCCTAATTCTCTACTTAGGCCTTAAACAACCCATGGAGAACCTCTAGAAAGCCCTTGGATGAAATCTATATGGGATTCCCATAGATTTCGTCCAATCCCCTTTCCATTAGGAACCAATAACCCAATTGAAACTATCATATAATTGCAATACCAGTTCCCTTTATTTAATTAATCTCTTTTAGTCACAAAACTAGTTCTTAATTAATTCTTGACTAACATTAATTAAACAATATTATTTATCCTTTGATTATTATTCTTATAATATATTAATAAATCATAATTAATCCTCTTTCTCCTTAATTCATCCTATCAGTTGCTATGGTGAACGCAACCCAAAAGGGCCATGCTCATAATCAGGTCAAGTACATACCAAAATAGTTATGGGCTTTGACACCTAATCCAACAGTCTCCCACTTGGATAAGTCTAATAACTATTTTGCATATAACTTCAGAACCTAATCAACAATCGTAGCTTTCAAAATTCGTCAACTCTGATCTTATTAGTAACGCGTCCTTTAGATAAGGGATCATATAGTCCTCTATTCTAGATATCATATGAATTGAGACATGGATTTAAATCATACTCTCTATTCATGTGTTGTTTCCCGATTTCCAATTTATGACGACTGACAACAGATTACAATTGAACACATCAACTTAGTTCCGGCTTGGCTAAGCGCTTAGGGTGTCATCACTAAATCATCGAGGGGCCCACAAATATCGTTTTTATCCTACTTTGGGTAAAAGGAACGGATAAACTTCCACTCAAATGCTCGCTTGTACCTACTCATCAAATCACACACAACAATATGTTTTATAACACCAAGTTACTGGTATGTTTACATATTATCAATGTGCAACCAACTTGCATAATACAACTCACATGTCTTGGTTTCAAGAATATAGGATATTAGCATCTGACCAATCACTCGTGATAAAATCCATAAAGCAATCCAAGTGAGGGTGGGTTTAATCCAATACTCTAATCTTATAGGAGCACTCATGAACTCTGCAGCAAACTTGTGCTATGTCTAAACACTTTAACACTTTAGACAATCTACAGACGGATTCATGACAATCTAGCTTCAATAGCTACTTCCAAAGTATTTATCGACTGTGTATGGTTTGAATAATCTTATTATTCAAGAAGTCAAAACATGCAAAGTGAAACACAAGAATAATACTTAATCCTATATGGCCCCAAACTTTTGAGTATAAATAAGACACCTTTATTTAATCACCATATTGATTACTCATTATTCAATGTATACTTTTTCGGGTAATCAACTTATTACTTGAATTACAACAACAATTGTCCCATGCTCCAATCATGCACACTATGTTTACCTATGGTCCTTACTTTGTGAAATAGATCAATTGGAAACATTTCCAATGATGCTCATTTCACAATCCCTAATCCTCATCGTTAGTGTAAGAACGTAAAATTCTCGCCACTACTAGAATATGTTAGATTCTAACATTTTATGCAATGATCCTTTTGTAATCTTATTGCAAAAAAGTCACAAAGACTTTGGGAATTAAATTACAAAGTGCTCTATTGGGGATTGTTACAAGGAAATTCCATAGATGTGAAGTCTCACATTCAAAGTACATTCCTTCGAACATCCTTCTTGCATAAAAGTTTCTAAACATAGATTCTCAACATCAAACTCCCAATATGGAAGCATTTCCATATTTTCCATATAACAACTCATTCTAAATAGAGTCTTATCTATTCATAATAAAGTCAATATGGTCCAGCCATTACTATACTTCCAACTGTCCACAAGCGACCAATCCTTGGAGAACCTTAGATCGTCCTTGACAGTTGTTTAGTCATTTTAGTCAAATCTGGTTCTAGTCTTTTTCCCTCTTAATTCCCTAAGCATTTGGAAAATTTAGAATGTTCGAATATTACAGCATATGCAATCGATCTTATACCCGAAGCGTGCAGGACACAATTTATAATGAAAAACGTGATACTTTACCAGTTTCTTGCTATAGTATTGCCATATATAGAATTCATTTATGTTGAATATTTTCAACATAACATCCATATATGTCCTTCGACTAAATTCGATTAAAATTTCTCAATCCAAGCTTTTAGATTTTGAAACGAAGTATAATATTCTCTCCCTTAATTATAGAAAAATAACTATTCAACCCCTAGAACTTACCATATGATTCGGGAAGTGATTGAACAACCAAGTCAACAGCCAACTTCCCCGAGACATCGACACCCAACATTCGCAATCTATCAATATGCAACTTCATATCCAATACATGAGCACATACAAACTTTCCATCTTCATGTTTTATTGCCAATAGGGCTTGAGTGACCTTGAACTTTTCAAGTCTCCGAACATGTGGGTTAGGGAGAATTATTGGAGGAGGTGGAGGAAGTGAAGAATGATTTCCATTTCCACAATCCAATCGTGGAACACCATCTTCAAGTGGAAAACTTTTCCCACATATTTAGGAAGACCATGGTTGTTAGACTTTGACATCTACAAAATGGGAGAAAATTCAAGTTAGTTGATTGAGTCCTTAATAAAACACCCAAATGAGATATTAAGGCTAGGACCCAACATAATATTCTATCATTTGGAAGAGGAATGTCGTAATCCAAATTGCAGAACATTTGAAGGTAGGTAAATGACGATTTACCAATTTCCACTATGAAAAACGAAAAAGAAATATAAGTTTTAAATGAATTGAAACTCCTAGATCTTTTGAGATTCATTGAACTTTTCAATGGCATGTTTAAATCTCGATTGTACCCTTCATTTGTGACTGGGATGTCGAGGATCACAAACAAGGTGTGGATAACCATGCAAATTAGCTTGGTACTCTCGATGTTACAAATCACCTAATCAGTGTGTCGGTTAACCACACATGCTCCATTGATATATGATAAACATCAAGCTACCCATTATCATCCTTCATTGGTTCCATATTAGTGTATTGGTTAACCACACACGCTCCAATAAAGACCAATAAATGTGCAATGTGCAATTTCATGGATTAGCACCAATTCCACATTTTTCCGAAAGTAACTAAGATTTGGGAATTTATAAAAGTGTTTAGTTACTTCATATTTCATTATACTTATAATGGAAGGTTGCATCCTATCCTACCCGTTTGACTAACGACCCTCCACCAGTCAAGAGTGTAGTGGGTAAGAATGGATACCCATTCAATCGCCATTTTATAGGCAATTTCCTTAAACATCCCCTAGAGACTAGTTTCATGAATGAAGCCTACTAACGGTAACACTAACTCTTTACTCATACATGTATAATATTAGACTTTTAATTTTATATATAGTATAAGGTTGTATTTTACACTTTTAAAATACTAGGTCGTCTAATTTAATAAATTATACCTTTTAATTTAATTAAATATAAACCATATCATTCTGGATTTATTAACTCTCTTTTAATTATACATTTAATTAACTTCATAAAACCATAAGGGTGTAATTTGAACTTTTCAAACAACTAGGGTTTTAGAATTTAAAATTTCAAAATTATACTTTTAATCAAAAAAAATTAATTCTAAAACTTGAGGACAAATTTTGAAACTTTTCCACAATATTAGGGTTTAACTATTTAAATTTAAAAAATAAAACTTTTTAAGTTCAAATTTAAACTATAAAACCTAAAGGGTGTGCACTGAAACAATTCAAACTTACTAGGTCAAATATTTGACAAATAATAATCCTATATTAACCAAATTTAACCAAATCAATCAATTTTGATGAGGATAACCATTCCAAACTTAAAGAATCGATTTTAGGCAAGAAAAATGAGTTTTAGAAGCAATCCTCAACAAAATCTGGAAGCAAAATAGAAACATTTGGCACCAGAGCCCTGGACTCGTCGAGTCCACAATGGAACTCGTCGAGTCCATTCATGGACTCAGTAAGTCTGCTAATTAGATGCAAAAAAATTGATTTTCAAGCAAGCAATGAACAATTAAGCATCAAACACATCAAACAAACAGCATAGGCTCTCATACCACTAATGGATTATGAGCACTATATCAATCCTATGGTGTACATGCAAACCCTAAAGCTTTGGATCTAGTTTGTCTAATAAACATGCAATAGTCATCCAAAGCTCAAAAACCCTAGATCTAGCATATAATAATCGATATTATCATAATAAAAGGGTTTAGATC